AATGCTCGCTCGACAGACGCAGTTTCCCACGCCTCCCTCAAAGCGGCTCGCGTAACAATAATCCCGTCCGGAGAAATTGCAGCGATTTGCTTTGCCTTCTCGAGAGTTTCTTCTAGCACGGACTCGGGAGTTTTGGAGATTCCTTGGACTAGATGTAGTGATAGTGCCTCTTCAGCGGATAGCTGTTTTCCGGCCAGTGCGATATCGGAAGCCGTTTGCATGCCTACAGTGCGAACGAGACGAGGCAGACCGCCTCCATATGCGTAGACTCCAACGTGGGCCTCTGGAAGGCCGAATCGTGCCTTTGGAGATGCAATTGCGATGTCGCTATCACCGGCGAGTTAGCTAATCTGCAGTCAGTTTCTCTAGGGCTAGCACTCACGCATTCAAAACAATCTCGAACCCTCCTCCGAGAGCGACACCGTTCACAGCAGCCAGCAACGGTTTCTTGCCTTTTCTTCGGGAAACGCCTGCAAAGCCACCGAGAGGATGCTGGTGTAGCCACGGCTCGGCTTGCTTAACGTCTTGCCCACTGAGCATTGCTTTCTGAGTGTGCTCAATTTCGATTAAATCGGAACCGGCACAAAACGCTTTAGAGCCTTCTCCGGTGATAACAGCGCAGCGTAAGGAGGGCTCAGCATCGTACCAGGTAAACAGTGCTTCCAGTTCCCAGTTCATTATATGCGTAACGGAGTTCATTTGTTTCGCCCTCGTGATTGTGACGAGCATGATGTGCTCTGCCGGGAACGAGATGCTGCAACCCGAACATTTTGGTGGCTGTCGGTTTGCCATGATTGAGAGTCGCCTGTTCCTTAGCCAGGAAGGACTGATCTAGATCATCGCTGGATATGAAATACAGAACTCTCAAATTGTAAAATTCCTTACGCCGTTCAGATCATGGAAAGGAAGGGCGAGACAAAAAAAGCCCCTGTCCCTGAGATGGAAGCAATAATACGCTCTTTTGCTTCGATCAAGAATCAAGTGTTGTCTCCGGCAATCCGCAGAGCTGGTCACCCCACAAACCCAAGCGCTCGGAAGGTTACCGACAGCCGCCAGCCACAGCACGGACGCATCGTCATCATTCAGTAGTTGGAGCTTCGAAAGAGCTATCACGTTATCGACTGCTTCTCACAACATCAGTAGCTTGCTGCTAAAAGTTCGTTCACCATCACTCCGTACATGGGCGTGCTATCAGAATTGCATTCTGAATCATAGCCTGCCATTGACGGCGCAATCGGGCGTTGAAGGGTTCACCTTTCTAGATAAACATAAACAACCGCTTCAGTACATACACCGACCTTCAATACATACACCAACCATCACTACATACACCAATCTACATTAGATCCTCACAATGGCCGGAGTACTACGCTGGTACGACATATATTACCTTATTCGACTGAGACGAGATGCTAATCTACCCATCTCCTCACAGGTACCAAGCCAAACTCGCATCCCGCCCTGTCTTCACTCAAGCCGTCAGCACCGCCGTCCTCTTTGCAACCGGCGATGTCCTCGCCCAACAAGTCGTGGAAAAGCGCGGCTTCTCCGAACACACTCTCGAACGTACCGGCCGCATGGCGCTCTACGGCGGCTGCGTCTTCGGCCCCGGCGCCACACTCTGGTACCAGTTCCTTCAGCGCAAGATAGTACTGCCCGGAAAGCCGAACCTCGAGATTCTGGCGCGTGTCGCGACGGATCAGACAGTGTTTGCTAGTACCAACCTGTTCCTCTTTCTGAGCAGCATGGCCATTATGGAGGGCAGCGATCCGAAGGCGAAACTCGAGGCGAGCTATTGGGAGGCGCTGAAGAAGAATTGGATGGTATGGCCGGGCGCGCAGTTCGTCAACTTCAAGTATGTGCCGCTGGAGTACAGAGTCTTGGTTGTGAACGGAATCTCGATCGGTGAGTTGAGCGTTGAGAAGTTCTATCTGCGGAAGGAGTTCGTAACTCACATGAACATGCAGGCTGGAACTGCTACCTCAGCTTCCTCAACAGCGGAGGTGGTGGTGACGTGAGTACTCTCAATCCTACTATTATACACTACCCATTCTAACTTCAGGCTACGCAGACCCAAACCTACCCACCAGACGCGTAATTCACGCCTCTGCGCCCTGAGCATCTCACCATTTCACTCGAA